TTATTAAAAGTTGATTAATTATGATAATAAAATTAGTCAAATTGTAATTGACAAAAGAAAAGGTCAAAAAAGAAGACAAAATAAAAACGAAATTGATATATAGATTGATTTACGTTATTTATTACATAATAAATATCCATCAAAATTAATACTTCTCAAATATTTCCTAATTTGATTCTCTTTTTACTTATTATTTCGACAAATCAAGAACTAACAGTTTTTTTTTTCCGCATACTCTTAATTTCTTAATATTAAGTTAATGTTTTTGAAAAATATAATGAGTAAATATCTTCAAAATCACTATCAATTAATAGAAGTAAAAGAGTAAAACACACCATATCGATAATTATTTTCTTAGATATACGATGTACCAAATTAAAATTAAAAAAATAAATAAAATGAACAGAGTAACAATAATTTTTGAACTTTCTAAATTTTTAAATTTTAAACTGAATAGAAATGAATATAACTAAGAAAATATAATTAAGAACTTAGACTTTCTCATACATCACATAAATAAGATTTTATTTTTTTCAAAAAAATATTATTATTTTTTTTAAAAAAAGGAGAAGATGAATATCAATTTTAAAAGTGTCAGAGCTTTAATTTTGGTTGTTGGGTTGGGTGAATGGTTAAAAAAAATGTGTTGAGTGTGTATTAAGTGAAAAATATATTGGGTAATGTACCATTTTCTTATCAATTTTTATACCTAATAAATAATTTTTTTTTACAATTAAAATATCACCAACAGATTTTAGACAAACTAAAGAAAAAAAAAACAAAATTATTCTTTAATTTTGTGGCTTTAAACATGTCATCACAGGAAAAACTGAAATTAAAATATTATCAAAAAAATAAAAAATCATTTTTTTTTCACTCGGAGATTGATATCCATTTTAAAGTTAGATTTGAGGAATAGTTATATCAGTAATCAATCTAAGCACTCCTAATATATCAAAATTTACTATATTAGTAATGCATGCATTATTTTTCTAATAATACACAAAGTTGATACATATATTTTTAGAAATTTTTTATATATATCCACTTAAAAAGAATTAATTATTCTCTATAGCTATAGTTTGATAATTACAATTTGTAGCTACATGCTATATGGAGGAGAGAGGCTAGCAAGACTGGGAGAGAGAGGCGAGAGAGAGGGGCAAAAGAGTGGGAGAAAAGTGAATTGGATATGTATATTGGTAAGATAATTGTATATTATACATATGTATTTGTATACATGGCAAGAGAGATTGAGAGAGGGATGAAAGAGGCGAGCGAGACTTGGATAGGATGAGAGAGGCGAGCGAGATCGAGAGAGGGCAGAGAGTGGGAGAGAGGTGAATTATATATGTATATAGGTTAAAAATTTGTATATTATGCATACATATATGTATATACCGGCGACTTATATACATATACAAACGCGACTAATTATACAAACTCGAAGCCAGCCCACGTAATAATGTTAATGTTAGTGGCGAGTGATAATTATAGCAAACTATAGCAGAAATACTGTCATCAGAATGTCACATTCCCTTACCCTCAACTGATGGCCAGTAGCCTGATCTGAGGTCTATCTTTAATTCTAACTTTTCAACTGACATATTTTATATCCTAAAATTAAAAAATATTTTAATACATCTTTAATTTAAAACCACAAAATTTAAATTTCTTAATTTGTCAAATCAAGCTTAAAAATCGTTTACATCGGAATGAGGAAATATTTATTCTTCTTTTAAAAATAAAAAGGTGGTGACTATTTCAAACATATGAGGTCAGCCACAAAAATAAAGAATGGTCCTGTGAGAGCGAAAGAAAATGAACCAAAAAAACTCCTTAACGATCGTGTATATGACACTCTAACTTAAGATAAAAAATTTCATATCAATAATATATATCGGAAAAAATATTGATATATAAATAAAAAAATTTTTACCAGGAAGCTAATAATATCACTAGTAGGCTGAACTATCGTAAAAATCCAAAGGACTATATATAGTAATGATAATAATAATCTAATTTAATCAATTTATAAAAATCCAAAGGACTATATATAGTAATGATAATAATAATAATAATATAGATATGGGTTCAATCAACAACTTAATATAGTACCACCTTATAATATAAAAATCTAACACGTTTTTAATGATACACTTCAACTAATCCCACTTAATTTTAATCAAATTTTAAATGACTCTTTAATCAACTACGAGTTACTTATTACAAGTTTTAATTAATTAATTAATTTTTTTTGAAATAACATTAATTTATTAGGTACAATGTACTAACTACGTAGTCATTTAATATTTTTTTTGAAATACCATGAATTAATTAGGTTGTTAGGTACAATGTACTAACTATTTAAGAAAGGCTCATTTCCTTTGATTAATGATTGATTATGACTACGGGTAATTACGGATCGGTTTGGATTGATTATTAGTCAAAATTAAAATTATCAAATCAAACCAAATTAAATATAATATACATTTATCGATTTGGTGGTTATCAATTTTGGTTTGCTGTGTGTCACGATTCAAATTGAGTCGTGAGTGACACCCACACTTAACTACCTAGATGGACGAATCAAATGAATTCAATCACAACTTATATTTATCATTTAAATTACAAAATAATAACCATAATGCGGAAACTTAAATCTTATTAGTGTAAGAAACACAAATCCATTATAATCTACTATATGTCATTTCCAATACCTGAAAGTCATCGCATCAAGGATATCTAATCCCCAAGTACTAAATGTAAGAGTATTAAAGACACCGAAATAAATGAAATAAAGTAATTTGTGTTTAAAAACTAAGGTCATCAAGTCATGAACGAGAGAATCCAATACAAGCTTGAATGAATAGCTCACCCTTGAACCTGATTTGTTGAGACTGGCTAGAGCTGAGGGCGAATCAAAGTCGTTGGTACACTCGTTGCACTCCATAAAAGGAAAACAAAAGTTGGGTTCAATACGAGGCAACATGTACTGAGTAGGTATCACTGACCAACCCAAAATAGAAACTAATATACAATGAATAATAGTATAAAATCTACTACGACACTTAGCAAGTGACGAACAACAAACAACATGAACCAACGACGATAACACTAAAGTAAATATGCAATCAATCACAATATCAAGCACACGTATGGGGACTCATGCCTCCATACCATGCTCATTTGGGAAATGAGTTCTTTGAGATTGAGTACATTAAGTTAATTCAATATCTTTTTTCCTTTAATGTTATCGTTTCAGAATGTGACACTCCGATCCAATAATATCGTGTTGGAACATGACAATCCGATTCAATAATACCATGTCAGAATATAACACTTCGATCCAATTATACCGTGTCGAAACGTGACACTTCGATCCAATTATATAGTGTCGGAACGTGACACTACTATTCAATAATACCATTAATTTATTATTTATTATCATTGCTTTTCAGTTTATCAACAATATTTCATCGAACCTTCTTTATTCAAGACATCACTTCGATAGAGTGGGTTTAAGATTATAAATGTCACAGTCTCAAAATTTTAGACCAAGCGTAAACCACATAAACAAGCCACATAACCACACAATCAAGTAAATAGAGAACTTCACAATATCACTCAATGCATATCAATCGTTATTAAGAGTCAATCTATTAAATAGAATAAACCATAACCTACCTTCACTGGAGAACCGAAGTCAAGCAAGCTACTTCTCCAATACTTATCCTTTCTCAATGTCTGCGAACCTTTTCAATCTATCAAGTATGTATGCAATAATTTGTAAGTTAACGAGTCTAAAAACATTCATATTATTCTGTGTCTAGTCTAGATCTAAAACTCACCCGATTCTATAATTAATTTCCTAAAGTTCAAGTGTACGGATAAATCTTAATTCTTTCAATTAGTTTAACTTTAATAGAATTTAAATAATATAATATACTTAATATTTATTTACCTTCCTTAATATATTCAAAACTTATTTTACAATATGATAATTAAAAGAATAAAATTTAGAATAAAAATTAATTGGTTTTGAAATAATAGCCTGCCTCGAGAACAAATTACAGAATGTTACTATATGACCACAATTTAATCAAATCTATTCTTCTCAAATTCCTCAAATTATTTATCAATAAAACTCATTAAATCCTTTAACCGTCCTTAATCATTGTACTTTTAATTTTAAAGTATCATCGTAAATATATAGCTTAAATTATAAAAGTGATGAAAGTGACACATTATTAATTAATTTTAAAGTTATTTTCTTTAGCAATTATAGTTTTAAACGTGTTAATGCATGCACTAACATCCTTTGAATTATTAATGCTATGAATTTCCATTGATTATTATAAGCATTAGTTATACACATGTTAAATATTGCCCTCATTACTTAATAAGGTACTAATAATACACAAAGCTAAATGTATGTAACTTTTTTTAATACACTTTATCGAATGATCCCTTAAGTGCGCATAAGAATAATATTGAATAAAATGTATTAATAATGTTTGCATTAATAATATTGAATCAGTTATATATGCTGCATTATTTCTTGTACATTGTTAGATATGACGTATTAGAAATAACAAGTCTTACATAACTTTTATTAAAAAAAAAAAACATTTTTTTACAAAAATTCTTTAGCTTTGAAAAAATGGAAAATATTTTGAGAAAGATTTGAAGGATAGTTATATCAATAATCAATCTAAGCATTCCTAATACATCGAAATTCCTGGTATTAGTAATGCATGCATATTTTTTCTAATGATATTCCACAAAGTTAACGTAAAAATTATCTTTTTAATACACTCTATCAAACGATTTTTGTTGGATTAGTCAGGCCCACACCAACAATAAATTCACTATCCACGTGTCAAAATTTTAACGGATTCTCATACAACTATTATTGGTTATGTCAAACTCAAAATAAAATTACTCTAACTTGTTTACGTGCCTATATATACCATGCTTGTTATATGCTCAAAGCACCAACAAAATTTTAAAACACTTTGATCATATTAGTCTTTATTAATTATAATGTGCAAAATGGCAACTACTAAGTCTTTTTTAATTTTAATTTTTATGATATTAGCAACTACTAGTTCAACATCTGCTACGTTGGAAGATGTGGTGACTATTCTTAGTATCGATGGAGGTGGAATTAAAGGAATCATTCCGGGTGTCATCCTTGAATTTCTCGAAGGAAAACTTCAGGTATTGTAAAAATATTTTTTTTAATGTATGTACGTAAACTATAGTCATTCCGGATATTGTTCTTGATTTTCTTGAAGGACAACTTCAGATATCATAAAAATATCTTTTTGTGTTTATCTTCTTTTTTTTTTACAGTTGAATTATATTTTTTTCGATGTTTATTAGTGATAATGATTAGTAATAGTACTTCTATTATCTATACGATCATGATAAAGCTAATTATTTATATTCAAATAAATCATCGTTTTCTTATGTTGCAACGTATTTACTCGTAATAATAAGTTGTTTGAGAGTTATTCTGTTTCGATTTATACGACTTACTTTTCTTTTCGAGTCAGGAATTGGATAGAGATGCAAGACTTGCAGATTACTTTGATGTAATTGGAGGAACAAGTACTGGAGGTTTAATAACTGCTATGATTACTACTCCAAATGAAAACAATAGACCCTTTGCTGCTGCCAATGAAATTGTACCTTTTTACTTCCAACATGGCCCTCATATTTTTAATTCTAGGTACATATACATATTTATATTCCTCCGTTTTAATTTATTTATCTAATTTTAATTTGATACAGAGTTTAAGAACGTAAAAAAAGATTTTTGAGTCTATTTTGATATTCAATTGAAGATATGAAAGTTGAAAGTTGTGGTCTTAAACATGTCTAGTTGAAAGTTGAAATCAAAGAGTCGCTATAAAGGAAAAATAATAGTTATATACTTACTCTCTTTGTTCCAATTTACGTGACACTTTTTGTTTTTCGAGAATCAGTTTGAGTTTGACCTAGAATTTGCGCATGAAATATGCAATTTTGAAATAAAATTTATATACTTGTAAATTCGGTAAAAGTTACCACAACTCACAATAATTGATAATTCAAAATATTTTAGAAAAAAAAACTAAAGTTTACTATCAAAGATAGACTTATTTAAATCTCGAAATTCGATAAATGCCAGATAAAATGGAGTACATTGTTGTTAGATGGACTAATAAAAAATTAGGTCAAACAACTCGAAAGAAAGAAAGGAGATTACGTTTTGAGTAATGAATTATATTTACACAACTTAAGATATTATATTCTCTAAAATTTTCTATCATTATCAAAAATTATAAAAATCTCTTCTCAAATACATCTCTATCCCTTCTCAGATACATCTACTCTCTCACTAAAATAATATATTATTTGCAATGTATCGAACAACCAAAGAATATACCCAAAAACAATGAAATATTCAGTATTTTTATACGTAATCGAGTATACCTAAATAAAATATATTAAACCCCAGATATATGAGATTTCTGTTCTTTATACTTTATATTTAATTTGGTTACATTATATTATGCAGTACTGGTACATTTTTAGGCCCAAGTTTTGATGGAAAATATCTTTTGCAAATTCTTGAAGATAATTTTGGAGAAACTCGTTTGCATCAAGCTTTGACAGAAGTTGTCATCTCAAGCTTTGACATCAAAAGAAATAAGCCAGTAATATTCACCAAGTCAAATGTAAGTCAAAATTATTATAGTGATTTTGTATCAAGAAATATGTTTTTGAAATTAAAATAAGTGAATTTTTTATTTATTTTCTCCTACGTTTGGTAAATAGATACAAAAATATATATTATATTAAAAGTATGTATATATGGGGTGTGTTTGGTACGAAGAAAAATGTTTACGTAGAAAATATTTTCCTGGAATATTTTGAACTTATTTTCTCATGTTTGGTTGCTGAGTAGAAAATATTTTTTGAAAGTTATTTTAGTGTTTGATTTATGAAAGAAAAATAATTTTTGAGAAATATCTTTTATTTTTAATAGAGTAAAAAATAAAATTTAAAATTGAAATATTTTTGAAAAGCAAAATTAATTTTTTTATTTCTGTGATGGGGTTGGATAGGGGTAAAAAAAATAAAAATTTGAAGTTGAAAATATTTTTAAAAAATAAAATTAATTTTTTGGGGGGATGAGGGGTGTGGGTGGGGTCGAGGGTGGGGGTGAAAAAAATGAAATTTTGAAGTTGAAAATATTTTTTAAAAACAAACTCAATTTTTTTTATTTGGGGTGGGGGGTTGAAAAAAAATTTGATTTTTTTTCGGGAGGGGGGGGGAGGGGGGGAGGTAGGGGTGGATGAGGTAAAAAAAATTGAAATTGCAAGTATTCTTTAAAAAACAACTTAATTTTTTTGGATGGGGTGGGGGCTGATCGGGGGATGGGGTGGAAAATAAAATTTTTAAATAAAAATCATTTTTAAAAAATTGATGTTTTTCCCCAACAAAAAGTGTAATTTGAAGTTTGATGAGAGTTTCGGAAAATATTTTCCTTGATTTTTTTGAAGAGAAGTCATTTTCCATAATTTTGAGGGGGAAAACATTTTCCAAAATTTTTATTCCAACCAAACATGAAAAAATTCGAAAACATTTTCCAAAAAATATTTCACTTCATACCAAACACATCCATAATCTAACAAAACATTTTGATGATGAGATCAGACGTGTCTAGGAGTAGTTTTAACCGTGACAGGATATCGACTAGTTAGGTATATCAAAATATTAAGAAGCAAAATCGCGTAGTATCAATATGTAATATACATATCGGGCAAAGGAGCTAGTGTCAAACAATAACTAATGTGGCTTCGCCACTGGGATGAGAAAGAGACAATAAACTTTGAGAGTCACTTATAAAACTTATTTATTTATTTTTTTACTTTCACTAACTTATTTTCGCAAAGAAAATACATATCAACTAATTTTATTTTATTTTAAAATGCAGTTAACAAACTATCCAGAATTGAATGCTACCATGTATGACATATGTTATTCAACAGCAGCAGCTCCAACAGTATTTCCTCCACATTATTTTGTTACTAATACTAGTAATGGAGATACATATGAGTTCAATCTTGTTGATGGTGGTGTTGCTTCTGTTGGCGATCCGGTACTAAACACTACTTTTTCGATTCAAAATTTTTGATATGTTTTTTTATTACGACATTATTTCCAAAATATGTAATGAATTGTACGTGTGGATGCATGCATGCAGGCGTTATTATCAGTTAGCGTTGCAACGAAACTTGCGGAAGAGGATCCAGCATTTGCTTCAATTAGGTCATTGAATTTGAAAAAAATGTTGTTGCTCTCATTAGGCACTGGCACTAATTCAGAGTTTGATAAAACATATACAGCAAATGAGACAGCTAAATGGGGTTATTTCCAATGGAAATCAGTTATCCCGCCAATGTTAGATGCATCAAGTTCTTACATGACTGATTATTACCTTTCTACTGTTTTTCAAGCTCTTGATTCACAAGACAATTACCTCAGGGTTCAAGTAAGTCCCAACTCAATTTCTATTATCGGGAACTTACGTAAATTTCACCAGTTTACAATATTATCTATTTTATCAGATTTTGATGTATCAAGGATAAATGGTCAAAATTAGGTGTAATTGTTGCAGATACATTCTATTCAAGTGAGTTCACATGAATCTCTAGATTTAGTGATGGATTCAGGATTTACATTAAGTAGTGCCTAAGATTTGATCTTGGGTCCTTAAGGTGAGTTTTGAACCTCTCGATCACTGAATAGGAGGCTCAAAATCAATATATAGACATAAAAGTTCTTAAAATTGCCTTAAATATACAACCAACGTAATTTTTTGTCGTGAACCCCCTCGTCAACCTCTAGGGCCGCCCCTGTCTATAATACATTAGCAAATCTTGTTCACTCTCTCAATCTCGCTTGCCACTCACTACGAGAAAACTGTGAATTACATGGAGATTTTCTGGGAATTAGTATGAAAATTTGCAGGAGAATAAGTTTCCCGCGAATTTTCATACTAATACCCAGGAAAATCCCCATGTAATCCACAGTTTTCTTGTAGTGACTCTCTCATGTATTTGATATTTCAGACACATCTGAATCACACCAGATGCATACAAATATAATATGTGCTTAGAGCGATTTGCATGTATCTTGGATACATACGTATCTCAGTGCCCTTTCTCCCTATTTTTGTGTCTCTTGTAGCAAAAATATATGCATCTAAGTGTAAAAATTTTAGGGAAAATTATGCGGTTAAGCAAACTTATACTACTTAATTACTCATCATAGTTATAGTTTGCTATAATTACCACTCTCGACTAACATTATACATTAATTACGTGGGCTGACTTCGAGTTTGTATAATTAGTCACATTTGTATACAAATATTTCGCCAGAATATATAAATACATATGTATAATATACAATAATCTAATTGATATACATATACAATTCACCTCTCTCCCACTTTCTACCCTCTCTCTCTCTCAATCTCGCTTGCCATATGTAAAAATGCATATGTATAATATACAATTATCTAACTGATATACATATACAATTTACCTCTCTCCCACTCTCTGACCTCTCTCGCTCGCCTCTCTCCCAATCTCGCTCGCATGTCTCCTTCCTCTCCCTATCTCGCTTGCCATATATACAAATACATATGTATAATGTACAATTATCTAACCAATATACATATACAATTCACCTCTCTCCCACTTTTTGTCCCCCTCCTCTCTCTCTCCTCTCTCCTCTTTATCCCAGTCTCGCTCGCCTCTCTCCTCCCTATAACATGTAGCTGTGAATTGTAATTATCAAACTATAGCTATAGACTGTATTTAGGCTATTTTTGAATGGCTATATGAGAAAGTTTTCCTATTTTTTAATATATGATAGGAAACTCTTAATAAGTGGTAAGATACGTAATATTTTAAAAGTATATATGATAATAAGGTGCGTCCAATTAAGTAGTTTTTTCGTTATTATTAATATAATATACATGTCATATATTCTTTGCTAATGATATGAGTATATTTAAATTCCAGGAAAATGCATTAACAGGCACAACTACTGACATGGTTGATGCTTCTGTGGCTAATATGGACTTATTAAAACAAGTTGGTAAAAATTTATTGAAGAAACCAGTTTCCAAAGACAATCCTGAAACCTATGAGCAAGCTCTAACAAGGTAAAACACATTATAGACTGGTTCGGTCGGTGCTTGAAATAATTTTTTTCTTTTTTTATATTTAGGGTTGTTTATGGTTATGGTTAAAAAAATCATATCGAATTGGAATTTGAATCAAATCGATTTAAAAGTCTGGCATGTAATGTGGTTTGGTTTTAAATTTTGAAAACTGATATTATTTGATTCGGATCGATAAATTAGATATACAAATTTTATAATTATTTATATATTATTTTCAAAGTCCAACTCCATCAAAATTCACTACTTCAATATTTACCTACCATACGTTGTATAAGATAATCATACTTTCTCTTAATTGAATCACTTGGTTCGTGTAATAATAATTCTAGTATTGCTATTGAACCAATAGTAGCTTTCTTGTGGATTGTTCATCAATTAGGTGTTTATTTTTATCGAAATACATATCTCCTCAAAATAATTATTATTATTCAATCGGAAAAAAAACATAAAATTGAATCTAATCGAACCAAACCGATAATAACCAATTTTTTTTTTTGCAGTTTGATTTTGATTTTAACAAATAACTAATCCGAACCAAACCAAAAACATCCCTATTCATATTACTATATCTCGTCAGCTAGTATTACTCATATTAAATTTCTTATAAATCTATTTTTATTGCTAATTAAAATAATTTTATTTCATTGTAGGTTTGCACAATCACTCATTGATCGAAAGAACCTCCGAGCAAACAAAGCGTCTTTTTAATTAAAGGTCTCGAATTGCAGTAGTACCCTTACTATGCTAAATAAATAATAAGTGCTTGCAAAGTTTATGAGGGATAAATTTCATTAGAAATGTCTCTCTATGTAATGTGTGTTTGGACTATGTAACCTTTTGGTTGTGTATAATGTTTAAATAAATAATGGTGATTTTGTATTATGACATTCCAATCTTCTTTTCTAAGCAAAAAGGAAAAAAATATATTATTGTTTCGGTCGCTTTAATTCGCCAATTATATTAAAATAAATATCTTATTTTATTTTAAAAAATTAAAAAAATATGATTTATCATTGTTGACACTCAATTTTGATCCTTCACAATAGAAATTAATCATAATTAATTAAGAAATTTACAGTTAAGTAATATCTCTCTAATATTTCCCCTCTCTTTAAAAAATAATTCTCAAGTCTTAAGCTGTTTATTTTCGCAACTTAATTAAGCATTCTTTTCTTAAAGTAATTAGTTAAATATTTAATTGTCGAATAACCGCAAGTTACCGAAGTTTTAAGTGCTTTTAACTCTTTCTAAAACATTAATATGAACCTCGAATTCTTTTTAATATATTTCATTAGATTTTCTGTTTTTAATCTTTTAAAAAATAGTTTTCTTAATTTTACTTTAAAAATTAAATGGCGACTCTTAACTCGTTTTCTTTTTCAAAAACAATCATTTTAAGGTTTTTTAAAACTAATTATTATATTCATTTTTCAAATCATTGAATTTATTAGATTCAAAAAGTGTATAGTGATCTATTGATCGTCAAATAAATATGTCAAGTCAGTACTTCACAAATAAAAATAGTCAGAGGGTGTATCAATTTAGAAGTGCCAAATTAATACTATACAAATAACTATGATATTTAAATATAATAGTTGGTGGTGATGTGGTAATTGTCATTAAAAAAAATCATGTTAGGAAGAAGGGGAAGAGTCAGATAATAAACACTCAGTTCGAATAAGTTTTACTCTATTTTGATTTACATTTTAGATGATATTGTATTCAATACTTTTTAAATAACTTATTTTTTATCTGTTAAACTTAAAAGTCATAGTAAAAAATTCTAACTAATGACTTTTGACAAATTTATCTTTTTGAGTTTAAAACAAATGTTTTAAAATATTTTTATATTTTATTCAAACCCTACAAAAAATACTTTAAAATTATTTTAACATTTAAAATAAATCAATTCAAATAAATTCTTGGTCAAACACTCTCTAAAATAGAAAGAAAAAAAAACAAGAGTTAAAAATAGAGAAAAATAATTCATAGATAGAAAGTAATAAGGTATAACTTTAAAATTGACCATATGTGAACACATTTGTAATAATATATATGGTAACACAAAACAAAAAATTAAGTTAAAAAATATCTAAGATTTAATATTGCATAGGCGTTTCAAAAGGATCCGACTTTTCTCCATTAAGTTATTATAATATAATTATTCGCAATATATTATCTTGTCCATAAATATAAAAAAAAATTTCCTAAATTTCTTTTATACGTACGTAAGACTTTTTTAATTTCTTTTAAATAATCTTTTTATCTAATTAACTGAATAGAAGTATAGAAACTATAATTAACTATCGTGTGTACTGGTATCACCGTATTTGTAATTTTATTATGAAATTGAAATTAGTTTGTTAAAATGATTTGATTATCGCTAGGTAATTTATTAATCACGGACAAATATGCTTCTAACAAAAGATTACAATAAAACTATTATATAAACCGGAAAAAAAAGATCCTACGATTAAAAAAAAGGAAGATAACTTTTTTTTTCTATATCTATGGACAAGATAATATGTTGCTTCGATTGTGAGATTATAATAATTTTAATACTTGATATATAATGTATTTGTTATATATTATAAAATAAATACTTTTCATGCGTGATTATATAAATCCTCCCTTGTTAGTCGATGCATTTGTAATCCAAAAAAGATAGTCTAACAATGACAACTAGAGCTTCATTTTCATTATACTTTTCTTTGGTAGTAACATCTCATGTGTTGGGAGGAATGGTGACAATTCTCCCGTTTGGCCATGCGATATGGAATCATAAGATGAAATTGGAGTTTTATTTAGATATGCGATATGAAATTTTCGTGTTGTATATTTTTTTATAAACATAAAAATCTCACAAGTTCTAAAACTATTAAAATAGCCCTAATTGTTTATTCAATATTATCGAATAATTTCAATATTATCGAATAAACAAAAAAAATCATAAAATTGTATAATAAATTATTACAAAGTTATTTGTTGTCCACTTAAGTTTCATCAATATATTTGAGTAAAAATGAAATATCTTTCATGGGCTCTTCAAGATTTTATTACTCAACAATCGTGAAGTGTGAGTTAAAGTGACTATACGTTGGTGAGAATAATAAATTTTATATCGCTGAGAATAATAAATTTCAAAAAGTAATGATGTGATTATAAATTTTATTTACATGTGAAATAAATGGTTATTAGATGTAAATATGGAGTTGTTTTAACAAAATATAAACTCGTGGATCAATTGTTGTATTAAAATAACTCAAAACATGATATTCTATTGCCATATGATTTTTTTATCGTGATTTATGGAGAATATAATATCACATCTCATATAATCAGCGTAAAATCGCATGTCCAAACGATGATTCCATCTCACGATACCATATCGTATCACATGGTCAAACGCCTACTAAGTGTTGATGGAGGAGGCATAAGAGGAATTATTCCGGCTACTATTCTTGCTTTTCTTGAAGATCAACTTCAGGTATCGATGTATCGTATATATTTTTTTTTTAAAAAAACGTATGTGTGGGTGTGACATTACTATATATATATTTTAACATTTGAATTGTATTATTGTTATCATGTTGGGATCGAAATAACAAGATGACAAATAAACTAATAATTGAAAATCTTTTATCACGATAATTCTGTTATAAGGATCTCGTATGTCCACAACCCGAATTATATCTAAAATTATTGTTTGAGTAAATCATTTTGTTTAAGGAACAACAATTGTTTTTCATGTTTGATTTATCGTTGAACTTTATTACATATCGAAAAAGACTTCATAGTGATGATCCTCAAAAATATTATTTTTGAGTTAGGAATTGGATGGTAAAGATGTTAGGACCGAAAATAAGCAGGTGTAACGTGGAAGCTAGCAAAGCAAACCTCGAAAGATCACGAGTAAGAAGACAACGAGAAATATACCAAAAGACACAAAGATTTAACGTGGTTCGGTCAATCGACCTACGTCCACAAAGGAGATGAGCAATCCACTATAAATATGAGAGTACAAAATACAGAGGGAAACAACCTCAACCAATTCACTCGGAATACATGGGAGGTTCACACAAGTGATAACATATCAAGCTTGTGACCCATAAGTTCTCCCTCTAACCAAAACTCTCAAAGCCTTTAAGACTACATTGTGAATGCTAATTAAGATAGAAGGAACATGTCTCTATTTATAGAGTCCTAAACTTTTTCCTACTAGAAAAAGGATTAGTCAATCCAAAATCTTTTCCTAAAAGGAAAACCTATTTATGGTAGAAATTTAGGACAAATACAACCTAACAAAAGATGCAAAGAGTTCTTATGGACATTTGTCTTCAGAATGGGATCTTGGTCTTGCTTTGTTTTTACTTCTGACACTAATGATGATTCAGTCCTATTCATCATCACTACTACTCCTTCTATGAAATTCATTAGTCGAACTCTTAAGCGTAAGTGTATATTTGTGCACATATTTTGCTAACTCTCTCTTGTCTTCCTCAAAATGGGTGGTACTACCAGTGGACAACCTGCTCAAGGCATCCTTAGCAACATTATCCTGGAGATAAAGAATATTCATGTCCTAATCTTTGAGTAACTCCAACCATCTTCTTTGTCTGAGACTGAACTCTTTCTAACTAAACACATATCGTTGAACACATCTACATGAACACCATAGAGATAATGACACCATATTTTTAGAACAAATACTGCGACAACCAATTCTAGATCATCGGTTAGGTAATTCCTCCATAAACTTTCTGTTGTCTGGAAGCATAAGCTATAACCTTTCCACTCTACATCAACACACAACTCAAACCAACTCTAGACGCATCAAAATACACAACAAAACCTTGAGTACCTTCTGATAAAGTCAAAACTGAGATAGTAGTCAACTTCTTTTTCTATTCCTGAAAGCTTTTCTCACAAGACTTAGACCATTGGAGCTTTACTGTTTTCTGAGTCAACTTGGTTAAAGGGGACGAAATGGATGATAAAAATTCTCGAAGAATTTCCTATAATATTCACCCAATCCCTAGGTCAATTCTGCACTACCTCTAGCTTTGGAGTGTCAACTTTAATCCCATTACTGGAAACAATATGACCTAAGAATGCCACAGACTCAAAGCCAAAACTCATATTTAGAAAACTTAGCATATAAATCCTTATCCTCTAGAGTTTGGAGAACTATTTTGAGATGACTAGCATGATCTTCCTCATAGATTAAAATGTCATCGATCAACACGATAACAAATATATCTAAATAAGGCTTGAATATTCTATTCATAAATGCCATGAATGTTGCAGTCGCATTGGTCAAACCAAAGGATATAACTAGAAACTCATAATGACCATAATGGATCCTGAATGTTGTCTCTGGAATGTTATATTCCCTTACCCTCAACTGATGTTAGCCTGATCTGAGGTCTTTCTTAGAGAAACATGTGGCACCCTGAAGCTGATCGAAAAGATCATCAATTCTCGGAAGAGGATACTAATTATTCTTGATGGTAACCTTGTTCAACTGGCGATAATCTATACACATTCTAAGGGGAATCATCCTTCTTCCTCACAAATAAGATCGGAGCTCCCCATAGTGAGACACTTGGTCAAATGAAACATTTATCTAGGAGATCTTTCAACTGTTTTTTTTTGCTCGTTCAACTCCACTAGTGTCATTCTATATGGCGGAATAGATATAGGACAAGTATCAGGAAGAATATCTATATCAAAATCTATTTCTCTCTCAGGAGGAACTTTATGTAGATAATCTGGAAAGACTTCTGGAAACTCATTCACAACTGTAACTGACTCAATAGGAGGTGTCTCAACAATAGAATCATTAACTCAGACTAAGTGATAGACACACCCTTTGAAAACTAACTTTCTCGCCTTAAGATATAAAATGAAACGACCCTTAGACACTGCTAAACTGCTACTCTACTTTATAACTAGCTCATTAGGAATTTGAAACCTAACAACTCGAGTTCTACAATCAATGGAGGCATAACCAAAAGTCAACCCATACATAGAATGACATCAAAATCTACCATGTCTAATTCAACTAAATCAGGCATGGTTTTCTTGTGATTAAGGGAAATGACACAATTATGATCTACACGCTCAGCTAGAATAGACTCTCCAATCGGTGTAGAAACACAAAAGGGTTCACAAAGTTTCTCAGAAGGGACATCAAAATTCATTGCAACATAAGGATTCACAAAAGATAAACTTAATCCTGAGTCTAGCAAAGCATAAACGTCAAGAGTAAAGACTTTGATCATACCCATTTGGAGAATTCTCTTGCTCTTGACGACTAGTGATCGCATAAAGGCGGTTTGCTCTTCCTTTAGTACCGAAAGTAGCTCCTCTAAGTGCAGCCTTGTTTAGTGGAGCAACTTATGAAGATTAGACCCTATTACCCTGATTCTCATTACAGTTTCGGTTATACTCTCTCATGAAGTGACCCTCTTGTCCACACTTGAAACAACCATCGCGACACTTACCTGGATGATGAGTCCTACCACACTTTGCAAGTTAGAGCATGCAAGTATTAGTAATGAGAGAACTTTGTGTATTTTTTTAGATATGGATCAATTATTTATTTTATTAGTTTTATTTATGAAAAACTAAACTCCTAACCAATTATCAAACATGTTATTATTTATACATATTACAATACATATATAACTCACTTTTAATCAACCCTAGTGTTGAGGGTGGTATCTTTTCCTTCTACCAATTGCACGAGGACACTTCTATGTTTATTATGGTTGCACTGTTAAGTTTATCTTAATTTCTATCAGTTTTTCAAAATATATATACAGATATATATATAATTTTTTAAAAAGTTACCAAACGCACGTGCACTCATAATATAGTGTGGATCCGCCCCAGTCTCTGTCCATAATTTCATTGTCATATGATCCATTTATCTGAGTCATTGCCACTCTTATTGTTATCATTACAACTTTCTTTGTTTTATTTGTCATTTTAGTTCATTAAAAAAAAATCTCTAACTTTTCACCTGATATGTTTAATATTTTAATATATTTTAATTTAAAATCATAAAATTTAAATTACTTCGTTAACTTAATTTGTCAAATCAGGGTCAAAGCTCATTATTTTATATAGGAACGAAAATTTTATTTATTATACTTTTAAAAATAAAAAGGTGGTGTGCTAAACAATTTCAGATCTCATCACACACACATAAAATAGATCATGTGTCAATTTTATCTATATGATCCGATAAGATGGGTAACTTTGAGTGACAAGCGCATGTGATATGCATTTAAATATGTGTAAGAGAATCTTAATTCTTATCTAATCCATTTTATAAAATTCAAAGGACTTCAGTTCCCTAGATTCATAATAATAATAATAATAAAAATAATAATAATAATATATATATGGGTTCAATCGACAAGGTAAATAGTACCATCTTATAATTTAAAAATCTAACACGTTTTTTAAAAAAATAATTCAATCAAATTTTGAGCGACTCTTTAATCAACTAAGAGTCACTTATTACAAATTTTAATTAAGTAATTAAATATTTTTTTCTGAAATACCATTAATTAATTAGGTATAATGTACTAACTACATAGTAATTAAATATTTTTTTCTGAAATAACATTAATTAAGATATTGTCTTTGAAATACCATTAATTAATTAGGTTATTAGGTACTTCTTCCGTCCACTTTCATTTGTTATATTGTATTTTTCAAAAGTCAATTTGACTAATTTTTAAAGATAAATTAGATTAGATTAATTTGATATTTAAAGAAAAATAATTGCATATTCAAATACTATACGAAAAGTACTGCATATTGCAATTTTTTACATATCAATATTATGTGAAAATATTTCATAAAATATTAGACAAAATTTTTATAATTTAACTTTAAATAATGAAAAATATGACAATTAATAGTGGACAGAGGTACTACAATGTACTAACTATTTTAAGAAAGGATCATTTCCTTTGATTAGTGATTGGCTACGACTAGAGGTGTTCACGGATTGATTTGGATCAGTTATTGGTCAAAGTCAAAACCAAACCAACCTAATCTATTTTAAAATTATCAAAACCAAGACAAACCAAATATAATATACATTTATCGGTCTGGTTATTATCGATTTTGATTTGGTTTGGTTTTGTTTTGGTTATTCGGTTATTAACCATGCACAAAAATAAAAGGAAAAAATTCATTGAAAATGTGAAAAAATGACAACAATACATTCAAAACGAAAATATACACATGTTAAAATTGTACCAAACAAGGCACTAATAATACACAAAACTAAATGCATAAATTATTATTTTTCCTAACTCATTCTACCAAACGACTCCTTAAGTGCGCATAAGAATAATGTTGAATAAAAATATAATAGTAATGTTTGTATTAATAATGGTGAATTAGTTATGTTGCATTAGTTTTTTGTACATTGTTAGATATCATGATGTATTAAAAATAACAATTCAATTGGGCCCATTATCCACGTGTCGAAATTTAAACGGATTCTCATACAACTTTTATTGGTTATGTCAAACTCAAAATAAAATTTCTCAACTTGTTTAGGTGACTATATATACCGTGCTTGTTATATGCTCAAAAGCACCAACAAAATTTAAAAAACACTTTTGAAGATATTAATTATAATTTGCAAAATGGCAACTACTAAATCTTTTTTAATTTTAATTTTTATGATATTAGCAACTACTAGTTCAACATTTGCTACAGAAGAAATGGTGACTGTTCTTAGTATTGATGGAGGTGCAATAAGGGGAATCATTCCAGGTGTCATTCTTAGATATCTCGAAGCAGAACTTCAGGTATCGTAAAAATATTTTGTAATGTATATACGTAAATGTGATACTATAATATATAGTTATTTCGGGCACCATTCTTGATTTTCTTTGAGGACACTTCAAGTATCATAAAAATATTTTGTAATGTACGTACGGAAGTGTGATACTATAATATATAGTCATTTCGGATACCATTCTTGATTTTCTTGAAGGACAACTTCAGGTATCGTAAAAATATTTCTTCGTGTATGTATGTAAGTGTGACATTACTATCGTTTTTTTTTCTTTTTCTACTATTTTTTTATGCTTATTAGTGATAATGATAAGTAATAGTACTTCTATTATCGATAGGGTCATGATAAAGTTAATTATTAATATTCAAATAAATCATGGGTTTTTTATATTACAACTTATTTACTAGTTTTGTAGTAGTTTTTTTTTTGTTAATATATAAATATCTCTGATTAATAAGTGAGTTATTTTTTAGTTATTCTGTTTCGATTTATACGACTTATTTTCTTTTTTTTTCGAGTCAGAGAATTGACAATAATACAGATGCAAGAGTGGCTGATTACTTTGATCTAATTGGAGGAACAAGTACTGGAGGATTAGTGACTGCTATGTTAACTACTCCAAATGAAAACAATAGACCCTTTGCTGCTGCCAATGAAATAGTACCTTTTTACTTCGAACATGGCCCAAAGATTTTTGAACCTAGGTAAATAAACATATTTATACTCCTTTCGTTTTAATTTACTCGTCTAATTTTAATTTGATATAAAGTTTAAAAGCGTGAAAAAAGATTTTTAAGTCTTTTGGTTTTAAACTGAAGATATGTCAAACGTATCAATATTTAATATTGTGGTCTTAAACATGTCTAGTTGAAAGTTGAATCAAGAGTCGCTGGTAAAAACAGTTACTTGATCTCTTTGTTCCAATTTATGTGACACTTTTCGTTTTTCGAGAGCCAAACAATATAAGTTTGATCTGGATTTACGAATGAAATCTGCATATTTTTTTTAATGAAATTTATAAATTACGTACAAAGTACTACAAGTCACAGTAATTGATAATTCAAAATGTTTAAAAAATTTATGATCAAAGATAAACTTATTTGAATCTCGAAATCTGAAAAATGCCAGATAAAATGAGACAGATAGAGTACATTGTTGTTAGATAGACTAATGAAAAATAGGTCAAACAACTCGAAAGAAAGAAGGAGAATATGTTTTGAGCGATGAATTAAATTTAGGGGAAAAAATACATATATACATAACTTAAGATATTATATTCTCTAAAATATACTATCCTTAAATTTTTTTATAAAAATCTCTTCTCAGATACATTCATCCCATTACGTAATGCATCAGTATCGAACAACTAAGTTATCTATCCGAAAACAATAAAATATCTAATATTTTTATAACGTAATACAAATATATGAGATTTCTGTTCTTTATACTTATATTTAATTTGGTAACATTATATTATGCAGTGGTAATCCACTTTTTGGCCCACAATATAATGGAACATATCTTATGCAAGTTATTCAAGAAAAAGTTGGAGAAACTTTTTTGAATCAAACTTTGACAGAAGTTGTCATCTCAAGCTTTGACATCCAAACAAATAAGCCAGTAATATTCACTAAGTCAAGTGTAAGTCAAAATAATTTGTTATTTTTTGTAAAGAAAATAATACATATCAACTAATTTTATTTTATTTTTCAAAAATGCAGTTAGCGAAATCTCCAGAATTGAACGCTAAGATGTATGACATATGTTATTCCACAGCAGCAGCTCCAACATATTTTGCTCCACTTGGATTTAATACTAGTCATAATGGAGATCAATATAGGTTCAATCTTGTTGATGGTGGTGTTGCTACTGTTGGTGATCCGGTACTAATACTACTTTTTTTCGATTCAAAATTTTCCATATGTTTCAATCGGACATTATTTCCAAAATATGTAATTAAGAACTATTATAGCGTTGATTCAAAAAATTTTATATGTTTCAATCAGACATTATTTCCAAAATATGTAATCAATATCTGTTACGCGTTGTTGCACGTGTGGATGCATGCATGCAGGCGTTATTATCAGTTAGCGTTGCTACGAAACTTGCAGAAGAGGATCCAGCATTTTCTTCAATTAGGTCATTGAATTTCAAAAGAATGTTGTTGCTCTCATTAGGCACTGGCACTACATCAGATTTTGATAAAACATATACAGCAGAACAGGCAGCTACATGGGGTATTTTACAATGGGGATCAGCTATACAAGCAATGACTGGTGCAGCAAGTTCGTACATGACTGATTATTATCTTTCTACTGTTTTTCAAGCTCTTGATTCACAAGACAATTACCTCAGGGTCCAAGTAAGTCCCAACTTAATTATTATTATCGGAAAATCTTACATAAATCTCACTAGTTTGCAATATTACCTATTTTATCAGATTTTGATGTATCTAGGATACATGGTCAAAATTAGATGTAATTAGTTTTAGATAAGTGGATTCACATAGATATCTAGAATCAGTGACAGATTCAGAATTTGCAGTTCGGAAAAAAAAAGTGCCTAAGAGTTGATATTGGATCCTTACAGGTGAGTTTTGAACCCCTCACACCACTGAGTCAACCTCTAATCTTGCATTTACGAGGTTCAAAACAAATATATAGACATAAAAATTCTTAAATATACAACGAACGTAATTTTTGTTATCCGCCCCTGTCTAGAAAATCTTGTTCGCAATCTCCCATTTCACTTCCACTCTCCCATGTATTTGGTATTCCAGATACACGTGAATCACACCAGATGCATACAGTATCTAGTGCGATTTACAAATCTCACTCGCCTTTTTCTTTATTTTTGTGTATCTGATAGTAAAATTACATGTATCTAAGTATATTTTTCGTAATATATGATAAGAAACTCTTAATGAGGGAAAAATGCATAAGTACCTCCTCAACCTATGCCCGAAATCTCAGAGATACACTTATACTATACTAAGGTCCTATTATCCCCCTGAACTTATTTCATAAATAATTTTCTACCCCTTTTCGATCTACGTTACACTAGCTTGTAAAAATATTATCAACAAGCGTTGGGCCCACAAGATAGTACCATGTAGGCCGAAAAGAGGTAGAAAATTATTAATAAAATAAGTTCAGGGAGGTAATAAAACCTCAGTATAGATAGTTTAATTGTGTCTCTAAGATTTTGGACATAGGTTTGGGAGGGGGGAGGGGTTCTTGTGCATTTTCTCCTTAATAAGTGATAAGATATACGTAATATTTTATTAAAAGTATATTTAATAGTGAAGTACGTCTAATTATATAATTTTTTCATTATTATTAATATAATATACATGTGATATTTTCTTTGCTAACGACATGAGTATATTTAATTCCAGGACAATGCATTAACAGGCACAACTACTGCATGGGATGATGCTTCTATGGCTAATATGCTATTATTAGAACAAGTTGGTGAAAACTTACTGAAGAAACAAGTTTCCAATGATGAAACCTATGAGCAAGCTCTGACTAGGTAAAATTGTGACACGTTCAATTTTGTCGGTGTTTGAAATAATTTTTTTTTTATATCTCGTTAGTCAATATTATAAATCTATTTTTATTGCTAATTAAAATAATTTTATTTCATTGTAGGTTTGCAGAAAAGCTCTCTGCTCAGAAGAAACTTCGAGAAAACAAAGCGTCTTATTAGTTCAAAGGTCTTATTATTACTATGCTTAAATAAATAATAAGTGCTTGCAAAGTTTACGTGGGATAAATTTCAATAGAAATGTCTCTCTATGTAATGGATTATGTAACCTTTTGGTTGTGTTAGATGTTCGAATAAATTATCGCGATTTTGTGTTATGGTATTTGAATCTTTTTTTCGAAGCAAAAAGAAAAAAAATATATATATATATATACAATTTGAAGTGCGGAGTTAATATTATACAAATAATTATGATATGATATAAGAGATACTTTGCAACTTTAGATATCCTAGATGAATGAGAGAGAAAAAATAGGAATTAACGATATAATGTAATTGAAGTTAAATACACTAAATAATATTTTTGTTTTGATCATTTGCACAAAATGTTAATAATGTATATAAATTTAGGGGTGTTTATGGTTCGATTTGGATCGTTTATTAGTTAAAATCAAAACCAACCAATTTAAATAAGCTTTTAAATTTTTAAAACTAAACCAAATAAAAAAAATAACTATCAGTTTGGTTATCGTCGATTTGATCAGGTTTTTTCGGTTCGAAAGTAATAAGTTTGTTGAGGACATACATATCTAAATAGACACAGGCACTTAGTACATGAATAATTTACAAATAAGCTATTACACAAACAAAGAAATAATATATAAAATTGGGCAGAGGGAGTAAGTTAGAAATTTTATTTATAGCTTTTGACTTATTTTTTATTTGACTTAAAAGTCATGATAAAAGTTCTAATTTTTTATTTTTGACAATTTTTGTCTTTGAGTTTAAAACAATTGTTCAAAAATACTTTTATATTTTATTTAAACACTACAAAAATACTTTAAAGTTTGCATTAATTTGATGCGCAAGATACATTAGTTATTAAGTAAGATATATTACATTTTATACATGATACACTAATTTGATGTATAATTTATACATGATACACTAATCTGATGCGCGAGATACACTAATCTGATGGAAGAGATACATATGATATACATTTTATATATGATACACTAATCTGATGCGCGATATACACTATTATGATACGCGGAATGAGGAATTTTGGAGATTTGTAAAACTTACAGGGGATAATGATAATAAGTAGACTAAAAGGTGGGTTTTGTAATTTTTTTCTAGTTTTTTTCATCGTCTAAAGTTGACTAATATAAAGAATCAAATCACATTTATACGCCATTATATAAAGGAAATAAGAATATTGCGATTTTAAAAATAGTATATTTGTCAAATATATTAGATATAGATTTTGTGAAAGACACTATTTGTTCTCTATATAAATCGTTATGCATATATAATAGGTACATTTGAATTCATCATTTTCTTAGCTTTTCTATTTATTATACGAATCATTAAAATTGTCCCGACTTTTCTCTATCAATTTTGATCAAAGTATTCAAAATTCGTCGACCAAGTCAGGTATGGATCCCACACCCATGTCGTATTGACCTGAGTGCGACAAGAAAAGTGAAGAATCCGAACATCTAAAGATAAAAATGCTGACAAAGATATGCCAACAGAATTGTAAATTACCTTTCATTCATCCACTTAAAAAAAAGGATATTTCTATAAATAAATAAAAAACATATACAACACAAACGTAAACAAATCAAACAGTCTTTCAACATAAACCTAAAAATCGTTAAAAAGGTTGTCTTAGTATAAGTTTTGTCAAATATAATTCATTTTCGTTCTCATTAAAATTTGAATATCCCCATATCGGAAATTCAAGTTTTATTTTACATATATTCAAAATAATTACCTCTTTATCTATCACTAAATTACTCGTAGCTAAGTCTGAAATAACTATATATGAGGGTGCCCAAGGGGGTACGTTTAATTAAATTTCTCAAGTTTAGAAAAATTATTCTGTATATATAAGGGTCAATAAAATTTTGTATGTATATCTAAAGTGTATATAAGGAATATAATGTGTAGAACTAATATATATATATATATATATATATATATATATATGTATACATACT